GAGCAGTGGCGGTTCTGTCCGGCCAGAGGGGATGACATCCGAACTGGCAGGAGCTCAGAGATAATCATGCCCGATCTGACAGAAGCCTGGAAGTGAGTGCGCGAGGTGGTTATAAAAGGCTCCCTACCCCCCAAGAAGGATGTATGCTAACTTTGCGCTATCTGGCTTATCTTGCCTTTGAAAGATTCTAACTTGAGCTTCGGAGCCCTTACGCCGGGTTCTCCCCGGAGCTTATTCACCCCCTCCGTTCCGTTTCAGGTCCCCTGCCACTCATTTCAGAGGCAAGATCGTTGACAGCTAAGACCGGCCGGATTGTGCATCATCACTTTAGATAGCTGAGGTCGGTGGTTGAGAAATCGAAGCTGCATGCTCTCCAAAAGTTCTCCATTGAAAAGGGGAGAAAGTGACTTTAATGGAGGTCACACTCGGAGCAAAAGTTAAAATCTCTGCAAAACATATGTAGGAAAGATCTGTATGGGAAAGTAATGGCAGACAAGAGAATGAATGCACATGGAGTCTTTCAGCATGTTCATAACTTTTAGCCTGACTCTAAATATGAAATCAAATGGTTAGAAAACGAAATACTATGGATCACTTTTATGGAGAAAGATTTGAGATTATTCCTGGAACAAAAGCCATGGCTAGTAAATGGGTACCCGCTATTACTAAACAAATGGGTACCAAATGTCTCGATAGATAAACTTGTCTTTGATGAGCTCTTAATTATAGTGAGAATCCTGAATGTACTTGTAGACAAGCGGTGCTGGGAATGGGAAGCAAAACTGGTAAAGATAGCTGGCGAAGCAGTTAAAAAAAGATGCTTGGAAGGGGAAGAGGAGGAAGAATTAGAAGAAGAGGAACCACAGTGGGGTCATTTCTTCAGAATCAGAGTCAAAATTAAGGTGATCAAACCACTGGCGATGGGAAACTACGATGTAAACGAAGAGGGAGAGAAAGTTTGGTACAATTTTCAGTATGAAGGATTGCCGTTATTCTGCTTTAGATGTGGCCTTATAGGCCATGAGGAGATAAACTACGAAAAAGTCTCAAATGCGCAGGCAATGGAGGAGATTACAAAGAGGTTGGATGCTCAAACCTTTGAAGCTGAAGAAGGAAAAATGAGATATGGGATGACTCTAAGAGAAATACTAGAAAAAGAAGACTTTAAATTCAAAAACTCTCAAAGGACGGATATTGAAGCAACGAGAGAGAAAGGCCCAATTTGAAGCGAGAATAGGTTTAGAAGGACAACAGAGGAGAGGAGTATGAATCAACTGGGTGGTCAGGAAGGTATGGAGATGCTAAAGTTAGTTGAAATTAGAGGTGCAGGAATGGGATCTCTGACACATATCAAGGACCGAAACAAAAGCTTTAAAGGCATTGACTCATGCAGAAGGGGATTGTTTCAAGAGGCGCCAAACCTTAGTTCTGGATTAAGGAGTCTTTTCCTGTCTGAGGGGACAGTTCGACTGATTATTTTGCCGGAGAAGTCATGCCAGCTAACTGAGTTTGAGGAAGAAGACAACACGGTCAAGGAAGTGACGGTTACAGGTGGGGGAGCTCGAGGTTAGAGGTAATGATGCCAACGTCAAATCAGATGGAGAGTTTCTGGAGGCAGAATTAGGCTAAGTGAACAGGTTTTGACAAGGTGGCAGTAGGAGAAGTAGGAGGGGTGATAGGTGCATGGTTGGGTGACCAAATTCAAGTGACGTGTTATGACAAAAAGAGCCTGAAAGGGAAAGACCCCATGGTGAAGGCTTGTCTGCAACAAAAGAGAGAAGAATGAAGGGGTAGTTATTATAGAAGTGGAAACAGAGAGTGGGACCTAGCCGAACATGAATCGGGGATGGGCAAAAAGAGAGATACCCGAGAAGATATCAGAACTGAGTCGAATCTGGAATGGTTGATGGAAAAAGAAAACTCACCTGGAGAGGGCATTGATTTTGAAGACTTCCTGTTAGAAAATGAAGATATTGATGGGGGTGCAGTCGAAGGAATCGAAGGGTGAGTTGCTAGCTACGGATATGGAATTGGAATCTTCTGAGACAGGAACTGTAAACTGCTTGGGTAGTCATAGATCAGATGAGGTATGTGCCTACTATTGTCTCTATTATTTCTATGCATTCGAATGCTATGCTTTCTAATCTAGATGAATGTGTTTTTATCTCTGACCTTTTAACAACAAATGCAAATATTTTGAGAAAGGAATTGATAAAAAACTACTACAGATGTGGAAAAAAAGAAAGAGGAAAAAGGGATTAGATGAAAAAGGAGTCTCAAGAAGGGAGGCTAGTTTATGAAGTTATTTACCAAAACCAGGAAAAATAAGGAAAATGGAAAAATCAACAAAAATATAGGGAAGGGAGGGTATTGGGACTTGAGGGAGGGAACTCTAGAAGTACCTTAGATTCTATAGCACAGTTCAACTTAAAAATAAGTGGGCTTTGCGACCTGTCCCACAATAGGTCTCGGGTAGAAAATGAGAATATTGAGCTGGAATTGTTAGGGAGTGGGCTCTACGTTGACAATTTGAACTTTAAAAGAAACCCAAAATAAAGAAAGAGCTGACTGCGTATTCTTAATAGAAACAAAGAATTCATTATTACAAGTTAGAAAAAACTGAAATTTCTCAAAGATTGGCAATGTTGGGGGGTGGATGCTAGGGGTTTAAGTGGTGGTTTAGCTTTGTTTTGGAAAGAGGATGTGACTAAGGTACTTTATGCAAATGAATATTTTATACATGTGTGTTTTGAAACCCATAGAAATGATGTGTGGCACTACACTTTTATTTATGGTGAGCCGAAGAGAGCCAAGAGGAATTTTTTTATGCAGAAATGGGAGAGTGGCAAAAACTAATTCAAGGTCCTTGGATGTGTGTAGATCTCAATATGATTTTCTTCAATTCTGAAAAAGGAGGGAGAAATTGTAGTGACAGTAAATTACATAAGTATAGAGATCTTTTGGATGTGTGTGGGCTCCAAGAAATTCCTAGTAGTGGGCCTTTATTTACCTGGACAAACAAAAGGGAAGGGGGCAGGCTTATTCGGGCTAAACTTGACAGGGCTCTGGGTAATAACCAATGGGTGAGCTGTTTTGCAAATGCTTAGGTAAGGACCTTGGTCACTCTAGGACCAGACCATCTTCCAGTGATTGTAGACATTGAAGTCAAGAGGAGAAAATGTAAAAGACCCTTTCGCTTTGAAGAAATGTGGACACTGACCATGAAGATTTCATTAGGATTCTGGAGAAAGTCTGGAGACCTGTGCAGAAAGGCTCCCACCATATTAAACTTGGGGCAAAATGCAGAAATTTGGCTCAAAATCGTAAAATTTGGAATAAAGAGGTGTTTGGAAACATCCAAAAGAGAATAGTTGAATTAAAAAAAAAAAAAACCTCATTACAAGAAGAATCAAGAAAGCGGGATCCTGAATATAATGCAAGGAAAGTTAAAGAGGTTGAAGCAAAATTAAATGTATGGCTCAAAAGAGAAGAGATGATGTGGTTGTAAAGGTCAAGAGTGAATTGGCTCCAACATGGGGACAAAAATACTATGTTTTTCCACTCTATTACAAAGGGGAGGAGAGCTAGAAATAGAATCAGCTATTTGAAAAACAATAGAGGAGAATGGATTGATGAAGGGAGGAAATATCCATAGAATTAGAAAATCACTTCAGTGCAGTTTATCAATCCTCTGGGTTTAGAAACCAAGATGATATGCTTTCTAGTGTGGAACCAATGCTAGATGAGGTGGATAGAGAAAATTTGGAGAAAGAAGTAACTTAAGAGGAAATTAAGATTTCTATGTTTCAAATGGATCCAAGGAACGCCCTTGGCTCAGATGGTTACCCAAATTTTTTGTGGGTACTGATGTGACTAGGGTAGTAAAACACTTTTTCTCAACAGAGAAACTGCTTAGAGAATTTAATGAAACTTACATTGCATTAGTCCAAAAAATCAAAAATCCGGAATCAGCAGGCCATTATTGGCCAATAAGTTTGTGCAATATTGTTTATAAGATAATTGTAAAGGTTCTTGAGAATAGAGTGATGGTGCGCGATCTAAATACTCCTAGATGGAAGACGATCCGAACTCCAATTGTGCGGCGAGCTGGACCAATCTGCAAAATAGTGGATTAGAGAACCCGGGGTAGATAACCCGGCGAGGTCGCTCCGATTCTTAAGTCAGTATTATACTATGGATGCGAGCTGAATACTTGAGTGCTTGAATGCTAGTGAGTAAAATAATCTCGCGTACCTTTGCCTTGGGGTTTTATGTCCTTGTATAATGGAGTAGTCGTGGGCCTTACGAAAGCACTCTGGGATCTCCGGGCTGTGCGGATAAGATCTGTTCCGTTTTTGAAGGGGAGCAATGTGTTGATAAGGTTTATCATCTACCTCCGATTCAGGCAAAGCTATGATGAGGCTCGTCGTGATCCAAGAAATTCGGGGTCCGTTGGGGAGGCCTTTCGAGTAGATTATGTGGCATTTTGGTTCTTTAGCTCCAAACTGGTACTTCGGTTCTTTAGTCCCGAACTGGATTAGGTGTCGAGGTGTATCTACGTCGAGGTGGTTTTTTGGGCCGAGGTGGCTGAACATCCGAGCTCAGAATGTTGCGTGTCCCCTTCTTACTAGGTCGTGCCGAATCACCCTTCATCAATTGCCCCCCCACTCCCCGTGCCAGGGGTCCCGACCCGGTGCGGGGAGTTCATGACGAGTCTAGGTGGGTTTGGCACAAAGTCTAGGCGACTTGAAGGGCGAACCGCTGGTCGAACCTGTTCAATCATCTGGCTTAACCACGAAATGACCCAGATCGTGTCTCGACCACGCGCGGACGTCACACTGTTTATAAATTCTGCGGACGCCAAAGGGCGCGCTCAACCGGTTTTGTCCTCGGGTTGCGTGCAGCCGGTTTTCATGGGAGCTGTCGGATCGTACAGATCTCAACCGTTGATTTCCGAATGTGGTGGACTATAAATAGGGGGACGAAGGGCCCATTACCTTCGCCATAAGTCGTGTAACTGAGCTCTCCTGAGATCGCATCGGAGTCCTTCAGCTCGCCATTCTTTCCCTTGTGCCTGAGGTCGTTATCGTCTTCTTTGGTGAGTTCGTCTTCTTTCACTAGTTGTTCCCTTTTCCTTTTCCTGTCCAATATGTCTTGTGCTAGCATAGATAGGTTACTTAGTGACTCTAGCGAGCTTGGGGGTGCCGAGGTGCGGTCCTCGACTCCCGTCGGTGAGGCCAGCTCTTCGCTAGAGAGCTCCTCTTTAAACCTTTTAGGAGAAATGTCTTTACCTGACGTCGGGCCATCTCGGCTTGGGGAACCCAAACCTCAGGTAGAGCGGCCGGACTCCGGAGAGGGGGTCTTGTCTTCTACTCGAGGTCAGAATCCAAACAACTTCGGCCCTTCCACGATGACCTCGGACAGGTTGCTTTCCTTGATAGCTCGTTACCGTGTCCCCGACACCCTTGTTTTCAGCATTCCTTTGGGTCAGTACCCTTGGGTTCACGATCATAACGAACTTGCGGTTTTTGAGGAGCAGCTCGTAGCTGGGCTGCGCTTCCCGCTCCACCCCTTCATCGTATAAATCATTAAGTTCTTTAACGTCACCATTGACCATCTACACCCGAAGTCCATTCGTACCATTGTTGGTATGATCTCACTTTTCCACGAGTATAACCGACCTCTTACTTTAGACATCTTTAGCTCGATTTGTTCCATTAAAAAGATCTCTTCTTTCCTGCATGGGGACACCCGACAGAGCTACTATATCTCACCTCACTCTGGGTTCAAGGTCCTGTTCGATAACCCGAACAAGGTATCGGCCTGGAAGAGGAGGTACTTCTTTGTTCGGAATCCTGAAGGATGGCCATTCCCGACTCACTGGCGAGTGGCCATTAAGGACCCCGCGGTGAGGTTGGATGCAGAGATAGGGCGGTCATCCACTCTTGGAGGGACCTCGGCCTTGAGATGAAAGATTTCCTGGCCGAGGAGAAGCTTGTACGAGCTGGGCTGAGTCCTCCTGGTAGGCCTCCACCTCGGCACACACATTACTTCTCCTTTTTCCTTTTCGCACTTACTTCAGTTCGCAACTAACTCTTTTTCTTCTCTCTTGCAGAAGCTATGACGGGTGTTGACGCCGCTAACCTTTTAAGGAGTGTTCAGAAGGGGAAGAAGAGAGGCTTCGAAGAGGTCCCATCGAGAGGAGGCCTCCTCTTCGATTCCTGTCGATCTCGAGGTCGTGGCACCAGAGGCACCCTCTACTGAGCTCCCAGGGGAGGAGGTCCGTCCCCAGCCCCTGGTTGTTGACTTGGACGAGGATCAGGATGAGGGGACCCCGCCTCGCGAGCCCGAAGGTACTTCGGTGCCCGAGCCTCAACCCCCTTCAGCAAAGGAGAGCATAATGACTCCGAGGTTTGAGCTCCTTAAGAGCAAGGATGCCGTGTTTCCTGCGGAGGTAGCAGAGTGGGCTAACATGCCAACAAGTCAGCTCGAAGGGAGGGCAACCTCCTACTGTATGGTGGTAAGTAACCTGCCCCTTCACTTACTTTCAAGAAAGAGATCATGCCATCAAGGAGTTCAAGGAGTCCCCTGAGTTTCACGACCTCCAGGTCGAGTATGGCTCTAGCTCGTACCGGTCGGGCTTCAAGCTCTGCAAGTGGTTGATGCGGTAGAAGTTTCCCCAGCTCGACTTCGGACCTATCTCCATGTCCGCCATTACTTCTGAGATGGCGAAGGAAGTTGACGAGGAACCTGACTCCTCCGAGGGAGAAAGCGATGACGAACTTCTCGAGGCGAGACCGTCAAGGGAGGCAGGCCGGGATGCTGTGGAGGACCACATGGAGACCGACCTACCTACTGGAGGTGATTTTGGCAGATCTGATGTTTAAACATGCCTCTTTTCTTGGACCCCCGCCCCCATTAGTGTATGTCCCGGGCCTCCGAGCTCGGTTATAGTAACCATGTATTCGAAACCTTTTTGTTAATGAAATATAGTGATTCAAAAAATCTTGTGCAAAAATCTTTCTAAGTAAAAAAATTTCCTAAGTGTTGGTTATCCCGAAGTGCCAGACTAGCCAACTAGACTCTA